AGAGAGAGAGAGATCAGCAACACCTAGAATAGCACATATGCCAGTGTTCAATCCAAAAAGGACCTCCTTTTCTCCTTATACACAGATATAATAAATAAGCACATATACAGAATCATGACAAGTTAATGCTCTCCATCTCATCTATAAGTTGCAGGTTAGATTCTTAAATGTATGTATTACCTATGTGAACATCCCCAATCTTAGAAACAAAAAACAAAAAAAGAAAAACAAGGGAATGCCACAAGGTGTAATCAACTAGGTGTGTTTCTCCTTTTAAAAGTAGAGGTGTCCGACGATTTTGACAGAATTTAAGGCTCCAATAAGAAAGGAATTTTTGGGTTGCCTCAAGGAAACATCCAGTTATACGGACACAATCCTTAGTTTGGTTGGATGATGAATGCCTAATAGTAATCCACCAAAATTTTGAAAGAACTCATCAGATGCTAAAGACTCTGTACAAATATTACAATTGGTAAAACATATGCTTGAAAAGAATAATTCTCTTTTTTGAAGAGTGCAAGCCCTTAGGACTTAAATAGATGTGCTTAAGAAAGAGTAAAATGCTTACGGCCATATCATGAACAAAATGCAATCTGCAACTTTAAGGCCCCATTTGGATACCTGGAGATGTATGTCCTGGGGAGGTGCCTATCCTAGAATTGATGTCTCCTGGAATTAGCATCTCCTAGAATATGGGTGTCTATTGTTTGGATAGCATCTAATAAAAGACCGGGAAGATGTCCACTGTTTGGATTGTATTAATATTCATCATCATTAAAGCCTTTTCCCAACTAATTGTAGTTGGCTTGGATTGCATTAATATTATTGTGTCATAATGATATAATTAATAATATCATCAATATAAGGACACAGTGCTTTCTATGCGGCCAGCCCACATATTGTAGAAATGCGGGGCTTGGCATATATTTTTTAAATATAATTTGATCCTAATTTTTAGAGAATATATAATCTTTAACATGAAGCTCATGAATATGAACAAATAATAATAATTTGAAAACTAAAAATAATAATTATATTAAGAAAGCATTTGGACCGTTAGTTACACTTGTTTTCAGATGGACCACCTATTTGCATCCATCTTAAAGATGGATGCTTTATACCTCTGGACCGCATATTGTAGAAATGCGGTCCAGCCTGCATGAAACAATTTTCCATACAAGAACAGTAGATATTAATATTGTTGTATTATAATAATATTGATAATAACAAAGTATTAATAATTATTATAAAAATGATGTAGAATGTATTACAAATAAACATCAAACAGTACAATAATATGCAGACTCGTAATATATTACTATATATTATCAATACTAATAACAACAAATTATAGATACTATTAAACAATAATAGTATTATTACTTTGTTGGAATACACATCTCCACATTTTGAGGCCAAAATGTGGATCAGTATTCCACCTATTTTGGTGGAATATAAATTTCCACATTTTGGCCTATAGGTGGAACGCAGATCTCACGGTTTGGCCTCGAAATGTGGATATAGATATCCATGTGGAGATTGAAATCCCATCTCCGGATGTCATCCAATCAGCGGAAATACCCCATCTCCATGGAAATGAGTCGCCCAAAGACCCATTTAAGGTATATCCAAACAGGGTCTAATAGTTACACGAACACACATTAATCCTTACATAATTTGCTGAGGACTATGCTATGCCTGTTACAAGAATGGGTCTTATATTCCTGCATGTACCATCCAGACATCCCTCCAAATTGGCACAAAGGGATCACCTCGGGAGATCAATCAATGACTGTCTCCAATTAAAGGCCATTTCTTGATAAGCCAAAAGCAATCAAACACAGGACCAAATATGACTAATTAAAACTGTGATTGCCGACAAAAACCATGAGTAGTCTAAATTCAAGTTAAGCTGACAGGTATGGTGCACAGTAAAAATCTGAAATAGGTAATTTATTAACTTAGCCAGAAAAAATAATCTAACTACAAAGGCAATTGAAACAAGAAAACCCAAGCTAAGTTATGAAAATACGGAGTATCAATTGTCTCAAACAAGTACTCATTGATTCATAGAGCAAAGCAGAGAACAAGATGATACTCTATTAAGGCATCAAACATGCGCAATGAACAAAGCAAATTCAAACAGCCAAAAGCAAAGTGACAGAAATTCGATGAATGTACATTCTGGCACTAAAGAAATGCACATCAGTCAATAATAATACTTGGGAAGCTTAAGAGAAGAATGCTCACCATAGTCAAACTGATATAGGTTGAGATACAAGATATGGGTCGTCACGAATGCTGCAAGAGGAGCAGCAATGATAACTTTGACAGCCTCATCCCTCACATTGAAGGTGCGAATAATTGCAACAATCAGCGCGTAGCCCACCAAAGCCACAGCCGATGAGTAATCCAGCTTTTCTGTCAAATCAACATCTCTGAAGGGAAGATGCTCAGTTTCCGCAAAAGCAACATCTATTTGCCTTTTTTCTTTTAAGTTGTTTTCCAATGTTTATGGAAACAATAACAATGTCACTAATGAAAGTACAGAAATCACATTGAATGAGAGAGAGAGAGAGAGAGAGAGAGAGCAAAACAGAAAATGTGATGGTGAGATACTATCTGTAAGCAGAAAGAACAAAGCTCACAATAAATATAAATAGATGTGCGCCCCAATCCCTTTTTAGCCCGGTGAAACCATTTAGTTTATCTTATTAGCAGGAAAAAAAAAGAAGCCCATACTAGTTTAACTTCGAAAGAATCAAGAAAACAAAGAGAATCAATTAGCTCACCTACTGTGGAAGACAGCACTCCAAAACCAGGAATTCATCGAGAAGACTCCATACATGGTCCACAACACAGTGAACTCATAGTAAGTCTTCCTATTCTGGGGTCTCAAAGGAAGCTTGTAATATACAAGTATCATAAATGATAGCCATCCATAAAACTGCATCGCAAGATTAAAGGCAGAGAACACCACTGAAACAGGCTCCTGATACCATGAGAAGAGTCCGTAAATTTGCAAGGGAGGAATGTGTAAGAGTCATCCTATTCACGCTTGAAAATTAGCCCCATGACAAAAACAAAAATTGCAAGACTCCAAGTCATCAACAGAAAACAAGAGTTGAATCAAGCAGAATACATTTAAGAGATTTGTATAAGAAGAAAGAGACCTGAAAAATGAAAACACGCTTGAAAGGCCATTTGCCATGATATTTGACAGGTCCATGTCCAAGTTTTTCCCTCTCTTTCTCCCTTTCCAGCATGCAATGGTAACGACAGTCACTTCGGCAATTCAATTGCTTCCAACGAAGGTAAAGGGGTTCTTGCATGTACCAAGGACTACCAGCTGAGGTGCCATCGGATGAAAAAGAGCACTGTTTGAAACAACTCTCTCCAATGCAGCCACTCTTTTCACATTGTTTTACACATGTCCTGAGATGTCAGGAAGCAACATAGAATCAGAATCATCTGTATTTGCCATAGTATGTGCTCTCCTACATTTGTATTGCAAAGCTCATAACCAAAACTAACCTAGTATTTCCCAAATTCTAGCGGAATATAAGAAACTACGAGCTCAAGAACTCTAAATATACAAGCAAAGGAAGACCTGGTTTTTTGATACTTGATTTCACTCTCTTTCTCCTCCCCCACTTCTATCTACCAATGTCCTTCTCTAGTCTCTTTTTCCTGTTTCTAGTTAGTCAGAGAGCACCTGGTCTGTTGGCTGCCTATACTCATATGTCATGGGTTCCTTGAAAGAATATTTTATACGTAATCATAATGTCACCAGTTCTTTTTTTTTGAGAAAAAAAAGAGGCAAACAAGGAGCCATCACCACGTTATGACAAACTGACAGTAGATTATACTGGGAAAGGATGACCTATAATCTTTAACAAGGAGCATAGGAATTTGTTGACTAAAGGAGAAAAGAGATGACAAACATTACAATTATTTGCACTAATCATCAATTCCAATTTGTAAAGAAAAACTATGAGTCTGCATCATAAGTACACCGTATATGAGTATTAAGAAGAACATACAAACCCACCACAGGGAAAACATCCTTAAAGTCAAACATGCTGTCATGAATGTAGCAGTCTTGAAATATGCACAATCAGAACTTCAACATTTACAAATCCAAAAAAAAAAACAAAACAGCAGAAAAGTAAGGTACAGGAAATAAGATATCACAAAACGGAACCCCAATAGAACATGGGTTAGCTCCTTCATAAAATCAGATCAGCATTTTATCATAATCTTTTATCAATAATTAACAGTTTATTGCTTAGATAAACTAAAGAATCAAGTTGAACTCAGGTGAGTAAGTATAAATAGAAATGTACAAGGGCCAAAGGTGGTCAGAGAAGGAGATGAAGGAAAAAAGTGGATGTGAGAGGGAAGGGGGAAGAGAGGTGACATTACGAGTACTCTGTAGGGAATCATTAGTCAATTCGCCTCACTAAGCGTATTGTTAAAGGTACAGCCAATGGAATTGCTCTACCACAAGAACTCCTCCCCTCACACTATCCTTGCTAACCCCTGCTAGGCTATAATTGCCTTGATGACATACCATCAAAATTAAGAAGAGTAGCCACTAGGTAGAGGAATCCACTCCCATACACTTTCATATGTTCCCCAGTTGCTAAGAAAGTCAAAATTCAGTAGTGAACAGCAACAATGACACCCAGTCACCAGGAGAGTTCTGAGGACTCACTACCAAAAAAACTGGTGAGGCCCTAGCCCAATAAACAACTCCATCACTTATCCTCTTGCATATCATGCTGTGGAGTATCTACGATCTGAAATATCACACTTGGTCGATAGAGCCCATAGTATCAATAGTAGCTGACAGGCATATATATGCAAAGACCTTCGAACTATACATCAGAGTCTCAGTCAAGGAGGGATACCAAAAAACAGCTCAAACCCTCAAAGCAAAAGGGCAGTGTAAAAGGAAATCTGGAATTTCTACCAACGCATGTAACATATATTGGGAATAAAAAGCTCTGGTAATGAAGATAGTCACTTGAAAGGGCTTTATCCAACGTGGCCAGCGATCTAAACACAAGAGCTCTCAGTAGGGCCAGAATGGACAAGACAAATGGCATTGGTGGGCTCTAACATCTGGGACCTGCAGGACCAAGTGGAGAGACCTCACAAAGAAGTGAAAGATCCTTGATGGGACACTTGTGGCCCATGAATGTGATGTAGAAGAACATGATGAAACCTAGACATTCAGCAAGAAAGCACCTTGACAAAAGCAATTTTGGAGAAACCCCTCCCACCTAGGCCTCAAGCCTTTCTTTTACAAGACAAAGTCTTTCTTTTCTTAAAGAGAAATATATGAATGACTCTGCAGCCCATCCATGCCCTTATTTGTATTGAAAAATTATTGTTTTGGACAATATTTGTCCATACAATTAATTTTTTACCAAAAGGTCCTAACTTAAGTATAAATTGAAACTAAACTCCTTAACTTTAACTAAAATATCTAAAAAGTACCTAGAATTCCTAGAAATTAAAAAACCCTAGAATTAAACCTTAAAACTACAATCACAATATACATCCTTTAAAATTAAATAAAAATTAAAAATATTGTATAATTTTTCCCTCCATCATTCTTGCCTTGTTGGAGAAAACTCGTCCTCGAGTTTTGAATTGTGCCATGAATTCAGCATAAAAAACACCATCTTCAACCTTCTTTTTCTTTGTTGGCTCAAATATTATTCGAGGTAAAAAAAATTCCTCCAAAAATGAGTCGTGATATGCATATTGAGGAATCCATGCAAATTTTTCAAATTCAGTTATTCGTGAACTCCCCATTAGAAATCATGTAAGATGAAACCCAATTTTCTAGACTTTAGAGATTTTCTCAACATCCGTTTGATCACTTTCTGAAATCAGGTTCATAATTTGCGATTGAGACAACCACGCTTCCACTGCGCTACTCTGATTCCAATAACCTAAAGTTGTTGAACGCTCCACCTCTTCAATATTGATGAGATCTTCAAAGGGCATGATTTTGATCAATCCTCCTGCTACCTTCTCTCCATATTATTCCCCCTTTTCCAAAATATCTTCACCATCATCTTAATCATTAACATAATCGAATCTCCAAAGAAATCTTGTTGTTCATCTGAGTATCTGTTGAAGATTGGTGGTGATTTCCAATCAACAACTTGTTGACTTTCCATGCAATCTATATCAAAATAAAAAATATCATCCTTCCAATCGAAAACCCCAAAGTGATGTTCCCCACATCTAGGTCTTCTATTGCTATCCTCATCACTCGACTCCACACGCGGAGCACAAAAGTGAAAAGCATGTACTCGAGATCCTCTTGGGCTGAAAGATCATCGTCTTGCCTATTATTGAGGCTCTACAACAAGTGTTGTACTTGCCTTTCAAGTTCTTCAATTATGTCATCTATAGGATCACAAAGTACATCTACGAAAATCTCCCTTCTATGGCCCCTTCTCGTTGAGATGGGTTCGCCGAAATCACAAACCCTAAGGAAATAATCAACAAATTATTGAAATCAGTAAGATCTAGGTTGTTTTGGCAAAACATTGACCAAAATCAGCAAACCCTTGGCCAAAATCAGTAAACCCTAGACCCCACTATAATTTCCTCTCTTTGTGGTAGACCTAGGGCACCAAAAAAAGTGATCTACAGTAACTTTGTATGTGCTTGCTACAGTAACTTCTGTGTAGATAGCGGACTTTGATACCACTTGATGTAGAAGAACTTGATGAAAGCTAGAAATTCAGCAATGAAAGCACATTGACAAGCAATTTTGGAGAAACCCTAGGGTTTCCTCCCACCTAGGCCTCAAGCCTTAGGCTTCTTTTACAAGACAAAGTCTTTCTTTTCTTAAAGAGGAATACGTGAATGGCTCTCCAGCCCATCCATGCCCTTATTTGTATCGAAAAATTTTTGTTTTGAAAAATATTTGTCCATACAATTAACTTTTGACCAAAAAGTTCAAACTTAAGTACAACTTGAAACTAAAATCCCTAACTTTAACTAAAATATCTAAAAAGTCCCTAGAATTCCTAGGAACTAAAAAACCCTAGAATTAAACCCTAAAATTAAAATCAAAATATACATCCTTTAACATTGAATAAAAATTAAAAACAAGTATAATTTTCCCTCCATCAGAATGTATCCACTCTAGACAACTCACTAAGACCCACAGGGTTGTCGTAAACTAGACAGGGAAAAAGCCATGATCATGTCGATTGCAAATACTTGACGAGAACCTCCTAAAAAGGGGCTTTGGAAAGAAATGGAGAACTTAGACGCTTCTCTAAATTCTTCTCCATCCCTGTTAATGGCTTCCCCAAAGCTACTTCCCTCTTCAAGGGGTCTACCGCAAGGTGAACCCCTCGCACGTTTGTTGTTCATCATTGAAGTTGAAGTTTTCAGCAGATCCATTGAAAGATTGTACCGGCAAGGGCTCTTGAAAGGTTTTCAGATTGGCAACCGAGCCTGGTGATCACATCTCCAATACACTGATGACACCTTCATCTTTTGTGACGCTTCCCAACAACAGGTTGATTCTTTGTATCTTAAACTAATGTGGTTTAACATGCCTCAAGATCAATATGGCCAAATTGATGGGTGTAGCAACTGAGCCCCAAGTGGTTCGCAACCTTGCTAGTCGATTGGAGGGTGGAGTTGAACAATTGTCCTCTAATCACCTTGGTTTGCACCTATGCATTGATTATCTGAAGAAGCAGCTCTGGGACCCCAATTATTCAAAATTTTTATAATAATCTAGAGGCTTGAAAAGATAGATTCCTCTCTACCATGGGTAGATTCACTTTAATAAAGGCAACACTCTCAAACAACTCAGTCTACCAGATGTAACTTTTTCAGATGCTGGTCTCCATAGTGACTCACCTAGAAAGATTAATGAGGAAAATACAATGGTGCATTGTTTTTTTCTTTTTTTGGGGGGGGAAAGGGAGTGCATGGAAATACCACCTTATTGCCAGGGATAAGGTCTGCTTACCCAAACAGGAGAGTGGTATGGTAAGAGCCTTAGAAGATGCAACTTGACCCCACTTGGAAAGTGGTGATGGCGCTTTGCTACACAAGATAACCACCTTTGGCAAGAAGGTATCCGTCATAATATCACTACAATGAATCAGCCTGACTGCCTAGGGGAACCTCTAATGGTCGGTCCTCAATGGTAAGTTTGCTGACCAGCTACCACCTCTTCCGGGAAAACATATGTTTCAGGGTCAGGGTTGGCAATAGAGTCAAATTCTGGATTGACCAATGGATTGGTAATTCTACCCTACAAAATAGGTTCTACAACTTGTTCATCCTGGCCCTGGATCATCAGTCAACTGCAGTTGACCAGTTCAAACTCTTGGGCATATGGAGGATTTGGAGACCAAATTCCAGGAGAGCACAATTAGTTT